AAGGAAGAGAAAAAAAGGAAATCGAATCGCACAGGAAAAGGGAGGGGTTGAGAAAGGGGCCGTCTGAAAGGGGAAGGGAAATGACCGACCAACATTCTTAGCTACTTGGGAGAGTGTACTGCTCCGGATACCAACTTAGTGGGTCGGACGACCCCTCGTAGGGCTGCCATGTAGGAAGTGTGGCATTCTAGGGCAACTAAAGTGGGGCTCGTGAATTCTTCATAATTGGCGCAACGGACCTGACCATGCCTGTACAGGAGGTGCGAGACACTTGATTCAAAATTTCATAGTACAGGTCATAAACGGCTCGGAAACCGGAAGACCTTGAGGAACGTAGGCGATTCCATGAAACTCCCCTGTCCAATAGTGTCAAGGGATCGCGTAGAGCGTGCCGCCACATTGGCTTGAAGTGAGCTGGCTGATCAGATGCTGAATGAAAGCGAGAAGCGTTTTTTGCGTAAACATTGGTTCTATGCTTTATTTTCTTTATTCTAATTCACCGACGTGAGATACATGCTCAAGGATGAGAAAAAACTGAAAGCTATCATTAGATCCTGTTCCCAATAATAGATTTGCAGTTGCGAAGCCATCAGTTTCTATTCGGACGGAAAATGTCGACTTCTAGATGGTATGGCTCCTATAAACTCCTCCAACGAAATGGATAAAACTTGCAAGCATTTCAAACTCAATGTGATCGCTTTCGAGAGAGGTAGGCTACCTTGTTTCAGTCTCTTGTCGAGAAAAAAGGACTTTGTATAATAGAATAGAAAAGTGGAGGAATGTCCGAATCCTTAGCAATATTGACGACTTTTTTTCGAATACCATGTGAAATCAAATTCATTTGCAGGAAAGAAATCCAACGACAGAAAACCAAGGAAGAAGGCTCATAAATCTAAGAGAACAAAAACCAGAGCACACTCTGCTAACAAGAAGGACCAGGTAACAATTGTCCTTTCCAAAGTTCCAAAACAACCACAAAAAGAAAGGGTCATAATTGAAATACATCGGCGCTAAAGCAGGTGCCTGCAGCGGACTTTTCATGATTCCCTCACTCGCGCACCCGCTGGGAAAGTTGAAACAACTTTGATGTGCCTGCTGAAATAATTTTCGCATTTTTACGTGATATGACTTCGGCTAATAGTAGTCGACAGGCTCGTGGGCTGTCGTAGGCTTTCTACTTAGAGGAATGCGTGATCGTCTTCCGTGTAGCCTGCTCAGCACTGTCTTGTGGCCTCTGGAAATAAACCGTCTACACCTTCGGGGATTTACTCAAGCGCAAAGAATGACACGGCTCAGGATTAAACCATGGCGCTGGTAAAAATTTGGGAATAACTTTCTGGATGGCATCACCTTCCTCTCTACAAAGTCAACCCTAGCGATAATACTTTTTCACCGTTTTCACAGCGCCACCCTGCTATCATTATCAGACGTGGGATCAGGGTCAACCGTCCGTTGGACAAAGTCCAACGAGGGGTGGGGGGTCGTATTTGGGGGTGGAAAAGAGGGGGGGTCGTATTTCGCGAGGTAGCGTTAATGTTACAGTAAGGGAAGGGATGATTTTTTATGGAACGGAGAGCGGATTAGGTTGTAGGCTGGGATTTTGGGTTGAGTGTTGAATGTAAAATTTTCAGCCGTTTCACAATCGTTTCACATTCGATCAGAAGACCCTGCGGGAATCCCCTGACACAGGGTTAATATCGCTTGAGGAATCCTCAGGCCGATGTCATAGTTTGCGAATCGCTAGCGAATCGCTGGATCCGAGCGTTGCGCCAGCGAATCGAACGTTGCACCAGCGAATCGAACTATGTACCAGCGAGTCGAACGATGTACCAGCGACTCAATAGTGGCGGGACCCAACGTTCAAAGGAAGCCCGCCACTTTCAAACAGGGTCCACTGTCACGTGACACTGTTTGAAAGTGGCGGGCTTCCTTTGAACGTTGGGTCCCGCCACTATTGAGTCGCTTCGACTCGCTAGTGCATATCGATTCGCT